ATTTCTACCTTGAGAGAAGGTATGAATATATATTATATTATATTATATTATATTATATTATATTATATTATATTATATTATATTATATTATATTATATCACTGTTCTAATTAACATTGTGCTTTACATTTGACTCATTGCTTTTTGATTAATTTGTATATATGTATATGTTATTTTTAAAAAGATACTCTAGAAATACTAGCGCTAATATCCTTATATTCATTTATTATAAAACATTATGTTATTATTTCTTTCTTATGCTGAGGTTTATGTGAATATATAGTTTACCTTATGTTGAAGACTTTATTTTTTTGTATCAACACAAGCTACGCAGTATATAAAATATAAGTTAATACTTCTCTTAAATAAATGTACAATATATAGTATAAAAATACATAGGTAATGTAGGCAACATTTCAGAATGAATATGATATTAACCAGGGAGCAGTACGGTAAGTCTTTTCTACTATAGCCCAACATATGTACCTAAGTAGGCCTATACGGTACGTATTCATTAATGTCGCCTGTTTTAAAATGATTCCTTCCCTTTTCAAATATACGCTTAGACTCAAACATTACTTCTTCCCAATAATAGATTTAAAATCTTGATTACTTAATGTTTATATTTCTTTTTCTTTGCTAATTTCTTTAACCTTTTGTTTTCTCTTTTCATCTTTGTCTATTCATTGTGTATTTGTTCTTTAAAATGGCGTATAGACTCAACGATACACGCTTTTGCTAAAAAAACATTATACGGTACCTAAAACACGGTGGTGTACAGTCTGTACTGTATGTATAAATTTATCTTATTTTGTGTAGAGGTATATGCTTAATGTACTGAATGTATCGGTTTTTAGCTCAGCTCCACGAAGATACAGAGAACGTAGCGTGTGAAGTCGGCGACAGAAGTACAGTTTCTTTTATAATATTATTAATAAAGACCTACTGTATGTAGAGATGTTTACTTAGCGTATGAAGGCATTAGCTGTTTTAAAACAAATAATTTCAGTTTTCATTTTTAAAGCTGGTTTTTATATATGCTATGTAACAGTAACTACTAAACATAGGCCTAATATAATTATATACCTACATTTTTAAATTTACGTTGCTTTTGTAAAGTGTATTCAACGTGAATTCCGTGTTAATCATATCCGCCGAAGAATCCGCCATTTTAACAATGTTTTATAATAATCATCATTATCATTATTATTATTATTATTATTATTATTATTATTATTATTATTATTATTATTATTATTATTGTCATTATTATTATTATTATTATTATTGTTATTATTATTAATATTATTATTAATTTTTCTCTAAATAGGACCTAAGGAGAAAATCTTTTGTGTTATTTTCCCCTTAACGTCGTTTTTTTAATTGTTCTCTAATTTCTCCATTGTCTAAGTTCCCCTTAAGGTAGGTTTTAGTAACATTATTACTATTATTATTATTATTATTATTATTATTATTATTATTATTATTGTTATATTATTATTATTATTATTATTATTTCTATTATTATTATTATTAGTAGTAGTAGTAGTAGTAGTAGTAGTAGTAGTACCGTATTTATATTATTAGTATTAATTATTATTACGGTATTGCTA